CATCAGGGTTGTCATTTACTTCATGTTATTCGTGCATTTATTTCCTTTAGACTTGCAACGGCAGGGAATTCTCCATCATTCTAGAGGTGGCCTTCATGTTGAAAGCTGCAGGTCTACCAGGAGGACCAGTCGGACAATCCGCTGTGGTGTCTCTGCTGGATTGGTACATTCTAGATAATAAACTAATCCTAGTTATGGAAAGACCAATCCTCTCCAGGGACCTTAACACCTACCTTCGAATCCGCGGAGGATCCCTGGGTGAACTGGAGGCAAAGGTACAGATGTTTGTTTCTGTGTGTGTTATGGTAGATTGAATTGCTCCCACTAACAGATCTACTTTTTAACAATTCATCTAGTAGAAGATCGATAGATAGATATACTTTTCATATTGAGAATCTGGAGTTAATACTTCCTTACAGTTCCTTCTAACTCTGTTTCTGTTTGTCTCTTTCTCAGATGATCCTGAGGCAGTTGGTCGATGCAGCCATCCACATGCACTCCAAGGGTGTGTTTCACCGGGACATCAAGTTGAAAAACGTCCTGGTTCAATTGGACTCTGGTTTACCAAGGGTGTGGATTATAGATTTTGGCTGCGCAAGCTTCTCAACTGAGACGTCTTTCAGCTCCTTCTGTGGTATGATATCTGACTTCTGCTCCTCATCCATTTGTCCATCTGTGAAATAATGGCATTGATGTTTAAACAAAGCTTCCCCTCATCCTTTTTCTTTTCTTCCCCACTTCTCCTTCTATTCCTCTGTTGATGTGTTCTAGGTACCCGCGCCTTCTTTCCACCAGAGTGGTCAGAAATGAATGCATACTGGGCCCATCCCACCACAGTTTGGCAGCTAGGGGCCATCTTCTATTCGTTGCTGAGTGGACATCCGAGATTTACCACCAGTGATTTTGTTGGAAACCACATTCCAATCAACAGTGCACTGTCCACTGGTAAGACCCACATATAGTTTTATACTAGAAAGTATCTTTTATTCAATCTATTCTTCAGATTTAGTTTTTTCATTGGATTACTGCAACTAAACCTATGATCTCCTGCTTCCTCTCTTGCTTTTCAGACGTAAAGGTTTTGCTGTACATGTGTCTGGTCAGCGACCCTTGCATGCGTGCCACTCTGGAGGACCTACAGGGCCACCCTGCCCTCAGTGGAACCAACTTTCCATCTGCCCCAGGCCGCATATAAGACCTTAAGGTATGTTCCTCCCAGCAGCTGTTCTTCTTACATTCTTACATAATCACATAATCTTAGTCATGAGAGCATCCATTAAGGGTCCTCAGCAGCATTATGTGTCTGTAATGTCCATTATTTGCTCTGGATCCTCTTAACTCTGTTTCTCTTCCTGCTGAGATACGCTGGAGACCACCTCACCTCCATGTACTGTTTGACTGGCTGGATTGATGAAAAACTGGGAGGAACCTGAACGAAAGATAACAACAAAAGAAGACATTAATCAATAATCAAGTTAACCTATAATTCTTATATATAATTCTTATATATATATATATATATATATTTATATCAATCATGGACCTTTTCCCAACTCTGGATCCTGTTGCACCCCCAGCTGTCTGTGTAGAGGGGATCTCTCTTTGAATTGCCACTTCCGAGGTTTCTTCCCAATTTCCCAGCAGCCTCGGGATTCTGGGGAGTTTTTCCTCGTCTTCTTAGAGAGCTCGGGTTGGGTCAGGAAACAATGCTGATGTTGGACCAAAAATTACAATCCTGTATTTAATAGTGTAGTGTATAAATAATTTAAATGATAAATAATTAAAATTATATGTAAATAAAATTATATAATTTTTTGTTTTATTTTCAGTAAAGCTGTAAGATATGCACTCTTGACTTAGGAGGGGGGAACTGCTAAATGTTTCTCTTCCATTTATATGATGTTATTCTTTCATTTTGCAGACAGAAATGCCTTCTGACTCATTATTTTTGAGCATTTATGTGAAGAAATGTGACTTTTCAGATACGTGACTAAAAATCAGTGAGGCCAGGGGCTCCCAGAAACACTCCACTCCGGCAGTGTCTATCATTTTTTCCAACCTAATTCTTGTGTCATTTGTGGTCTGATAAACAGCAAATAATCACATTCAGGTTGAAAATGACAATGCATTAAGGTCTTTGCGAACGGAAATGATGTCCACGTTCATTTGCATAGAGCTGGGAAGCGAGATCCAATCACAAGTGCTCATCTGAAACACACATGGAGACGCATTCTAATGCCAGCTGTGAACTGATGTTAATAAGGGCCAAAGAGTGAAAGTGAGTGAAAGGAAGTGAAAAGTAAAAGTGCCCGGGGTGCTTATTCGGTGATGTTACTTACAATTGTGTACCTGTGCACAGTCGAAATAGCAGAACTTGAAGTAATGACCAACATGGTTTGAGATAGCCATTAATGGATGGCATCTTAACCCCCCCTCCCCTTCCTGCTTTATTATCATGCATTACCATTGGCCTTACATTTAGTCATACCACTGTGCAGGGAGTTCTGGCTTTTAATGCAGATTAAAGATTCAGCTTCCTGAGAGCATTTTAACAACGACTCACAAATGGTGGCATGAGATATATCCTGTGAGCAATGAAACATGGGGTTTGTAGTGAACATGTGCGTGCCTGCTGTGTATGTGTGTGAGGGGAAAAAAGTGAGAGTCTGTGTGTACTAGGTGCACATGCGTTAGTGTCTCTCACTTATTCATGCCGGGGAGATGCTTCACACAGTGGAAGAGAGGCTGCACAGCGTCCACTCATTTGTAACAAGAGCCTTTGTATCGACACACATGCTCACTTCCCATCATAAGCAGAAGAATGGAAACGCAAAGCTTATCGGCATAATTGGTTACCAAGAATGCTGGCAGTACTTTGGCCTTTTTTTTTTAATTTCCTGTTTTGAAATTATGCTCTTGTATTCAAAGATAATAATGATATTTAGCAAGATACAGTAGCCGCTGAATATTTATGAGGGCGGAAAATTGCAAATAGCATCATTAAGGGTGACTGTGGGAGGTGTATATAGGAAATAAATATGAAATACTATCAATGTAAATTATTAATTATTCAGCACCTCCAAAATAAAGAGAAGCTATCAGAAGTGATCATTCCATCAGGAGAGAACTGAAGCAGGAGTTCCACTGAAAAAAAAGTTACTCCCAACAATGGCAGGGACAAGTTTGCGGTTTCAGGCTTTTGGACCAATATTGGAACCATTATCATGAGAACATGGAGGTGCTGGGAAATGACAGCTAATATTATATCTGGCAGTAGGTTACTAATCAATATAGATGTCAAAGAACAACAAACTAAATCTAATCAACAGCCATTGCGTTGGGATGAATCTCAAAAACAGGACAAATATCAAAACTTTTGTATTATTTTTACATTTTAGTGAACCAACCATTTAAAGGACCTTCTTTTTGTGAGTCGTCTCCTACTTTGTTGTACTTCATGACATTCACCCTCACATTATTGTTCAAAAGACTGAACAATGTGGTCTCCCAGCGCATAAATCCCACTGAGATTAAGGTCCTCCTTGATAATGAGATCTTAATCTCAGTGGGATTTACCTGATTTAATCCTGATTTAATAAAGAGTAGGGTTATATACACATATTTTCTTTAAACTCACACATTCTAAACTCTAATAGACTTATCCTGCATGCCAGGCATCACCCCCTGTGGTTGTTTTTATGCTTATGCACCATGTCCTCAGTTCCAATGATCACAATGGTCCCAGCACTGATGCTTTCCAGACAGGCCCTGAATGTTAATGAAACAGTAAAATGCAGTGGCCGTGGACAGGACAAAACAAAACACCAGGATATAAACTTTGCCCATCTGAGTAGGTCAAGCGTCACAAAATGAGTTTTTGCAGATTCAAAAGTTTGGACGGGGTTTAGAAAATCTATTTGGACTGGTAACATTTTCCTCAGAGCGGTTGATTAATTCAGTGTCTGCTTGTATTTAGATACGCTGCCTTCGCCTTCACCATCTCCTAGGTAGCGAGCATGCTGCAAGGTTGCCTCATCGCATCGTGCTGGAGCTCAAGAGCTCGGTTGAGGTATGTTTGCACGCAAACATGCTGAACAAACAAAGACAGGAGAGGAGGAAGCGATAACAAAGTAGAAAGGAAAATAAAGGCCAGCTGTCTGCTCTATGACAGAGATAATAATAAAGTGGTTTAGCAACAGATGCTTTAATCAGCCACATTATAGTATTTGCTGCGACGTTTTACAATTCTATAGCTTGGATCATTGCCAAGGATTTTAAACTTTAGACAGTATTTCATTTCACTCCCCTAAGTTGCCGGTGCAAAGCAACAAAGCTTAGTGGAATCTTTTTACATTCCACACCAGTAACAGCAGAACCTGCAGTGATGAGGTTTTTAATTTGCCAGTGACCTTCAAATTTACCGGTCCATGGAGTATTGATGAAACCATATATCCAGAAAACGGTATCATAAAATACTGTTTACTACTTCCTCGCAATGGGTTTCAACTAATACTAATTTTTATTTAGATGCTTTTTGTGGACATTCTTAAGCCTTACTGTTACTCTTGTAAGCTCTAGGCATGATTTGTGTATTAAATTTGCGACACGGAAACCTGTCCACGCTTACCTCTCGCTCCAATGTCAGCTGATATTGGCTACATGCAAGCGTCTACCCCTACTTGTCCTCCCATCTCATGCAAATTGTTGAAATACCACCACAAGACAGAGACAACATTGCTAATAGGGGAGACTGTACTTTATAATTTATTCCTCTAAATGCCTTTTAGATCCCCCCCAAGGCATGTTGTAGATGTGTGTGTGTCGTGTCGTGGTCTGTGATGTGGTGCAACAGCCGTGCTGTAGGTGTAAAGTGGTGTGTAGGCTGTGCGTGGTGTGTGTGCGTGTGTGTGTGTGTGTTGTGTGTGTGTGCGTATGGGTGGATAGTGTGCGTTCCTTGCTTGCATGCATGTCTAGAACCTTTTAATAACACTTCAGCAGCCTTGGTGACCACAAACATCACAGAAGGATAAATCGGACCTACCCAGCAGATAACTACACGTATGAATGCACTAAGAGTGTTTTCCCAGCCATGTCAAATAAATGCCAACTTAATTAATTAGTATTATTATTTTTTACGGGAAGTGGAACCCTTAAGTAAGGGCTGAGTCTGCATACAAAAAGGCAGATGAATAAGACAGAAGAGAGGCAGTTAGGTTTATAATGCCGCCTGTGCTTTGTGATGATAGTGAGAATTCTTATAGCTTCTCTCATGCCGGAGCCTCTCTGTGGACCATAATCACCACATTTGTTGGGTGCAGAGACTCTGAGAAACAGTTAACGAGCCTGTAAACAAGCGAGCGCTGCCTGCCTAGCTAGCACATTGGTAAATGTCAAGAGAGAGAGAAGGAAAAACAAGAGTGCCACAGTGTGAGTGAGATCTGATGTGCGTAGCATGAGGCAAGATGCTATCAGGCTCTCAGTCTGGTGTGATGGCATACAGTTATGAGGGCGATGAGGTCATTTCAGATCCATAAGTTGCTGGGGTCAAGGTTTAGGGTCATTTATGTGCGTACACAGAGAGATATGTATCGATAAGTAAATCAATTTTTTTTTTTATTCTCTGCCCCCAGGTCACAAGGAAACGAACCAATAAAATGAAAGCAATAAAATAATTTAATCAGCAGCCACACATTTAACAGGGGAGGGCAAAAGGCACTTTACATTTCTGTCAAGACATTTGGCAATTATTTGCACTAGGTTGAGGGATATGGATGGAAATGTGATGTTTCGACATGACCATAACAATATCAGACAATCTTTCTGCGCATCTAGAAGTGTAATGAATCTTATGTCCAATTAGAGGATAAATCTGCCAAAAACACCAAAAAGGCAAAACAAACACAAAACACAACAAACAGCAAAATGCATTGGGGAAAAAAATCAAACTAGGAACCCCACGGTGAATCCTAAATAAGTTTTGAAATCATTTTGCACTGAATTCTATGAATAACGAGCAGAAGGGACACATAACAGGGACACATATTGTGATGCAAAGTAGTAAATAAATGTCTACTAGTCTGCTGCTGGTAGACGTTATCACAGCTTCAATGCAGGTTCATGGAGACACAGGTGTCAGGTGTTTTGAACATCTGATGTTGGGTACTGCGTGTTTTGGTTTTGTTCGGCTCTGGTTGAGTTTTGCTTTTGACAGGATTGATAGAAGGAGTTTTTCTGTTCATCTAAAAACTATGTGGAGTCCTAAATATCGATTTTATGGGTTTTTTCTTGGGGTTTTTTGTTTTGTTTTGACACTGGTGCTTGGAATTATTTACCATTCTCCTCCACTGATCTGAGCTGTAGAATACCCCATGGCTCTAAACTAGGTCCCCTGTTTTCCTGCTCTTATCTGCATTGTTTTATGGAACATTTTACTAGATTTTAAACTAGAT